GAGGCACCACTTCTCCGTTCATCCTGAGGCCGAGTCCCACATACAGCAACTAGAAGGATGTGCAGCTACGACACACAACTATCCACTGGGGCTTTGGGGGGAAAAAAAAAAAAAAAAAAAAATTTAAAAAAAAAAAAAAAAAAAAAAAAAAAAAAAAGAGAATTTATAGGGGCTGGCCCGGTGGCGTAGCGGTTAAGTGCGCGCACTCCGATGCGGCAGCCGGGGTTTAGACCCCGGGCGCACACCGACGCACCGTTTGTCAAGTCATGCTGTGCCGGCGTCCCATATAAAGTGGAGGAAGATGGGCACGGAAATTAGCCCAGGGCCAGTCTTCCTCAGCAAAAAGAGGAGGATTGGCAGATGTTAGCTTAGGGCCGAGCTTCCTCAAAAAAACAAAACAAAACAAAAAGGGGGCTGGCCTGGTGGCACAAACGGTTAAGTGCGCGCGCTCCAGGGTTCGCAGGTTTGGATCCCCAGTGCACAGCAACACACCACTTGTCAAGCCATGCTGCGGCAGCGTCCCATATAAAGTCAAGGAAGATGGGCATGGATGTTAGGCCAGGACCAATCTTCCTCGGCAAAAAAAAAGAGAGGAGGATTGGTATCAGATGTTAGCTCAGGGCTGGTCCTCCTCACAAAAAAAAAAATTTTATATCTACAATGGCTAAAAGCATAATAAATTACGACCAAGTGGGGTCTATTTCTGGAATGAAAGATTGGTTTCACATTAAAAAATGAATAAATGTATACAAAACTGCCTTTGTTTGAAGTTGTTTGCAAATAAAGAACAACCAATTTTAAGGAATTTTAAAAAATGAATCAATGTAATTTTACCTTATTAACTGAGTAAACAAGAAAAAAATATACAATCATATCAAAGATACAGAAAAAGTATCTGACCAAATTCAACACCAATTCATGACTTAAAAAAACTCTCAGTCAACTAGGAATAGTCAAATAGAAATAGAACATAAACAGAATTTTACCAAGTCAACTTGGTAAAAGACATGTATGAACAAGTTACAGCTAACATCATACTTAATGGTAAAAAGAATGAATGAGTTTCCTCTAAGAACAGAAGCAAAGCAAGAATGTCTGTTCTCATCACTTCTATTCATCATTGTACTACTGGTCTTGGCCAATGTAAAAAGGCAAGAAGAAATAAAAGGCATACAGATTGGAAAAGAAGGTGTAAAACTCTTTATTAATAGACAACATGATTGTGTACCTAGAAAATGCTAAGTATTCCATAAAAAAATCATTAGACCTAAGAAAATGAATTTAGAGAGAAGGTCAATTACAAAACCCAATTGTATTTCTATATACTAGCAATGAACAATTACAAAGTGAAATTTAAAAAACAAGACCATTTACAATACCAACAAAAACATAAAATAATTAGGAATAATTTTAATAAATTATAGATAAGAACTGTATCTTTAAAATTATAAAACATTGCTAAGAGGGATTAAAGATGATTTAAATAAGATATATGCCATGTTCATAGATTGGAAGACTCAATATTGTTAAGATGTCAATTCTCTCCAAATTGATCTATAGATTCAGTGCAATCCCAGCAGACTTTTAAAAAGAAATTGAAACGGATCATAGAACTAAAGAAAAAGTTAAAACTACTAAAGAAAACAGAGGAGAAAATCTTCATGGTCTTGGGACAGGTCAAGATTCAAAAAAAGAACATCAAGAGCATGAACTACAAAAGAAAAAAGTGATAAATTGAACCTTATCAAAATTAAAAACTTCTGCCTTTGAAAGACACCACTAAGAAAATGAAGAGACCAGGAGAAAACATCGTGTGTGTGTGTCTACAAAGGACTTTATATACAAAATATATAAAAAACTTCTACAACTCAATAAGACAATGCAATGTAAATAACGGGCAACAGATTTGAACAGAAGATATCTGAATGTCCACTAAAGCACATGAAATGATGTTCAATATCATTTGTCATCAGGGAAATGTACATAAAGCCACAATGAGATACCCCTACACACCCACCAAAATGGCTAAAAATAAAGACTGACAATACTAAGTGTTGACCAACTGGAATTCTCATATGTTGCTGGTGGGAATGCAAACTAGTACAGCCACTTTGGAAAACAGTTTAGTAGCTTCTTATGACCCAATAATTCTGCTCCTAGGTAATCTACTCAAGAGAAATGAAAATATATGTTCACATAGGCTTGTACACGAATGTTCATAACAGCATTATTCACAACAGCCTCAAACTGGAAACAATCAAAACGTCTACCAACTGGTAAATGGATAAACAAAATGTGGTATGTACACCAACAGAATACTGCTTGGCAATAAAAAGGAACAACTACTGATACATGCAACAATATCATGTTAAGTGAAAGAAGTCAGACACAAATCTACATGTTGTTTCTATTTACATGAAATTCTAGAAAAAGTAAAAATATCATGACAGAAAGCAGATCATCGGTTGCCTGGGACCAAGGGTGAAACAAGGGACCAACTTCAAAGAGACACTCGAGAACTTTTTGGGGTGATGGAAATGTTCTGTATCTTGATTGCATAGTGGTTACAAGAGTGTGTCTGTCAAAATTCAACAAACTGCACACTTAATGTAGGCGTATTTTATTGTAGGTAAATTATATCTCAGTAAAGTTGATTTAAAAAGTAAAACGGCAGCCAGCCCTGTGGCTTAGCAGTTAAGTGCGCGCGCTCCGCTGCTGGCGGCCCGGGTTCGGATCCCGGGCGTGCACCGACGCACCGCTCCTCCGGCCATGCTGAGGCAGTGTCCCACATACAGCAACTAGAAGGATGTGCAGCTACGACAGACAACTATCTACTGGGACTTTGGGGGAAAAATAAATAAATAAAATCTTTAAAAAAAAAAAGTAAAATGGCTAAAATAAATAATAAGAAATGCTTTTGAAGAATCTAGAAAAAACCTACCACATTGCCTCTTTTTTTTTTTTTTTTAAGATAGGCTGGAGTTGTGAGGGGTTGTGGTAGTGGTATAGCAACGGGGGTGGGGAATTCATCTCATACACAGAGTTTTAGGAATCCTTAGTACTGCTTCAGAGAAATCAAAGCAATGGTGTTCAATCCAGGGGAGAGACGAGGCCTTTCAAAATCATCTATAGATTTTTATCAAATTGCCTTTGTTCTCACCCCTACCCTGATCTTCTTATAGAAGCCCCCCTACCATGCTGAGGATCATTTATCCTGCCATGAAATAGTAAAAATGTAGATTGAATTTGAAAAAACAGATTATTAGAATGCACATTGTTTAATAACATTAAACAAAGCCTCATGCAAAAGAAACTCAGGAAGAAACAAAGTCGACATCCATCTGTAGTCTACAACAGAAAGAAAAGAGAATATTAACGTAGATAGAGATGCAGGTGTTTTCATCCACAGAAAGAATTGTCCATGCTCTGGAAAAATAATGGAAATAGAAAATAAAGTCAATTCCAAAGCACTGTATAAACTAATATAACTGCCCATTTGGAGACCTAAGAACTGGTTCTAGACTGCCACATCAACAGCTTCATTAATGATCTGAACCATCGGTTCCCAAACCAGGATGTGTTTCAAATTAACTTGTGTATTTACAAAAACCTAAGGACGCCCAAACTGCCGCCTTCAAAAATTTTAATTCAGCAGGTCTGGGGAATGCACAAGTAGAAATGGGCAACTCCTTATGAAGTTCAGAAAAGGGAAAGATTACTATGAGCTGGGGTGGACCTGGATAGTTTTGTTGAAAGAGTGGGGCTTGAATGTCAAATAGAACTTAAAGAAAATGAGAATTCCAAGCATGAAATAGTATTAGCTACTGATTATTTAGCGTTTACCTGCCTTGTCCACAGGTATATCTTTCGGTTTCTAGAATAGTGTCTACCACATAGTAGGCACTCAGTAATATTGACGGACTCACCAAATGTGCTGAGAAGTGTGTCAGCACTTTACATATACTCTCCAATTAATGTGAGGGCAGTTACAGAAGCAGAACTCTACACATACAAGAACCATGAATAGGCATTAAGTGCATGCTAGAGTATGGATTTTATTCAGCAGGCAGGAGGAAGCAACTATAAGTTTTGAATAGAAAGGTGACAGACACAAAACACTGGTCTAAAGTAGTGTCTCTCAAACTTTACTGTGCATGCAAATCACTTGAGGATCTTGTTAAAATGCAAATTTTGATTCAGAAGGTCTGGAGTGGGGCCTGGTAATTAGTTTTGTTTTTTTTTTTGAGGAAGACTGGCCCTGCACTAACATCTGTTGCCAATCTTCCTCTTTTTCCTCTCCAAAGCCCCAGTACATAGTTGTGTATTATAGCTGTAGAATTGTAGCTCTTCTATAAGGGATGCCACCTCAGCATGGCTTGATGAGTGGTGAGTAGGTCCGCGCCCAGGATCCAAACGGGCAAACCCCGGGCCGCCAAAGTGGAACACACAAACTTAATTGCTATGCCACCAGGCCCGCCCTGAGCCTGGTAATTCTAACAAGCTCCCAGATGGTGGTACTGCTGCCACTTTGAGGACTATCATATTGACTAACGTTTGAGAAGCCTTGTTCTAAGGAACATTCTAAGGAATACTAATCTGCAAAGGGATGGGAGACGGGGAGGTAAAAATAACCCAGAGAAAGGAATGCCAGTTAGAATACAATTATCGTGGACCATGTTTGTGGTGATATAGATGGATAGGGGAGAAGGAAAAATAAAGAAATTATATTTAGTTAGTAAGGACACCATAAATCTCCTAGCCCATCCTCCACCCTTTGGAGGAATAGCTTTTACCAACTCCTGGATATAAGGTTATCTAATCTCTGCTTGACAACTTCCCATGCCAGAGACTCACTACTCTATCAGAGAGCTCATTCTACCTGTGGACAATTCTGATGACTCCAATTTTTTTAATGTCCAAAGTAACTGGGAAAAGAGTAGTGTCTCAACGACAGAAACAGGAAAGCTCAGAGGTGGAAGTGGTTTTGGTGGAAAAACGAGTTCGAGTTTTTAAATCATATTGAGGTTGAGAAAACAGTTATATATCCCAAGTGGAAATACATAGCATTCAGTTAGAAAAGTAAGACTGATGCTTAAAAGAGAGGTTAGAGATGCCTATGTGGACTTGGGAGTTAGCAGCCAAAGCTATACGAATGACAGAAATTCACTAAAGGAGAAAATGGTGAGAGAAAAGCAGAAGGCTGGGAAGCAAGCCTCGGGATAGGTCCATATTTAGGACATGGCTCTTGAAAGGCAGGTAGGAAATGGAGCTCAAAGGAAAAACTTTAAAGATCCTCCTTCCCCTACTAGACCACCTTCCCTCCCCCAACTTGGTTAGTTTTTTTTTTTATAATTTTATTTATTTTTTTCCCCCAAAGCCCCAGTAGATAGTTGTATGTCATAGTTGCACATCCTTCTAGTTGCTGTATGTGGGACTTGGCCTCAGCATGGCCGGAGAAGCAGTGCCTCGGTGCGCGCCCAGGATCCGAACCCGGGCCGCCAGCAGTGGAGCCCACACACTTAACCGCTAAGCCACGGGGCCGGCCCACAACCTGGTTAATTTTGACCTGTCCCTCTCTACTCATCTCAGATGTTCTGTGCTACAGAAATCCTCCCTCACCCCCCACCTCCCCACCCCCACCTATGTTAGATGTTCAGCCTCTGTATTCAATCCTTTCACCTACCACACTCTTAATCGCCTATTTATTGGTCTCCTTCCCTAGAATAGAGAACCCTTGAGGGCAGGGAATGCATCTTGTTCACTGTTGCATTCCCACGGGCTACTGAGCCCAACACATAATATGGGCACTCCCCTATCTGTTAAATTCATAATAGTAAAAATAATAAAAGCAGCCAGCATTTATGGTGAACTATGTGCCAGGATCTGTGCTAAATGCTTCACAGAGATCAGCTCACAATAAGTATTATCGCCCCCATCTTACAGATTAAGAAATGGAGGCCCCACATGATTAAACGCCAAAGTTACAGAAGCAAGTGGTAGAGGACTGATTAGATCTGTTCCAAAGCCTGTGCTCTAGAAACCGGTGATAATCAAGAAGCCTAGGGAGAAGAGTCAAGGCTGTGTGTGCAAAAATATATGACTGAGAAGACATTACCCGATTTGACAATGCTGCTAACCACACGCCAAATGGTATAGAAAGGAGAATTCATTTACCTTGATTTTTTTCTTTTTTCTTACTTTTGCCACTGGTTTTCTAAACTTCCTCCATGTCTGGGGTTACAACTATAAACACTGCATTTGAACCTCAATACCTCTAATAAACTTGGTTAAAGGGTGGGGGAACAGATTTAACTAGTTCAGCACTGCAACTAATGGCTGAATAGGCTCCTGGCCTTAGGCAGATAATCAGAGGAAATTTGGTTTCTTCAACTTTCAGGGACAAGAAACAGTCTTGGGTGTCTCTAGAAAGTATGAATCAGTCAGTGAAGAACTGTCTTAATGCTGCAAATATACAATGAAATACAGTTCTACTTCAACAGATACTACAATAAAAAAAGGACCAATTCCAATGCTTTTCCTCTTTGGGGGAAGTGAAGTTAGAATATGCTAGGGTATCTTAGAAGCCAGCTCTGGTGGTCTAATGGTTAAGATTGGGGGCTCTCACCAATGCAGCCCAGGGTTCATTTCCGGTCAGGGAACCACATCACCCATCTGTCAGCTGACATACTATGGCGATTGCGTGTTGCTGTTATGCTGAAAACTATATGGTACAGCAGGGTCACCCATGGTGAAGAGGTTGCAGGGGAGCTTCTAGACTAAGAGATACTAGGAAGAAGGACCTGGCCACCCACTTCTGAAAAAATTGACCATGAAAACCCTATGAATATCAACAGAGCATTGTCTGATACAGCACCAGAAGGTGAGAGGATGGCGCAAAAGACCTGGCAGGGTTCAGCTCTGCTGTACACAAGGTTGCCAGGAGTCTAATGGACCTGATGGCACTCACAACAAAGGATATCTTAGCACAGGGCAGAGAAGTTAGTTCCCCATTTCCCGAAAACTTTTATTTAACCACTCCCCCTCCCTCGTGCTCACTTCCCTACCCCTTATCCCCACCTTCACCCCAAATCTACTGTGAGCACTTAAACATTCTTGGAAACCAAGACAATTTGTTTGGGCTGATTCCGGGAGTCACCTGGATCTCTGTCCTTAACGGGGGCTTGACCTGCTGCCTGCCCAGCCCGGGATGAGATGGGGATGTGGTGGTGGTGCTGGGGAAGAGGTCAGCACTAGGATCTGCCGCCTCTTTGCTTGAGGAGGACAAACCGACACGTGGGCCCCAGGTTCCCCACCTAGAAGTCTGGGGGGAAGGAGGGAGGGAAAGCAGGCGCTCGTCTCTCCCGCCCGGCAACTCCGCTCCTGAGTCTCCCGGCCAGGCCCAAGCCTATTCTGCTCTCGGGCTGCAGCCTCTCACTGCGAGAATCGAGGAGGACTCGGGTGAAAAAGGGCCCGTGGAGGGCGACGGGGGACCCGAGAAGGCCGCTCTGACGAAGGCCCGCCCCTGAGGAGATGGAATCGGCGGCAGGGCAAGGAGGGACCGATCCCTGGAACACACCAGGCGGCCCCGCCGGCCCGGTACCTGGTCCTGGAGTCAGCAAACAATCCCGACCCAGTCTCAGCTCCGCCTCTTTAGTTTATGGCCGCGCCGCCGCCCGGCCAGTTGCTGGGAGGGAAGTACGCAACGTGCCATGCGCAGTACAGGGACCCAAGCGCGCGGGCAGAGAGCCCCTCCCCCCGCGGGCCCAGCGGCTGACGGAACTCCGCCCCGTTTCTCCTGGCCAGAGCGGCTGAGGGAGCCCCGCCCCACCCCGCCCCCGCCCGACCAGCGGAAGAAGCCCCGCCCCGGCCCGGCCCCCGTGGGTGGGGAAGCTCCGCCCTGTCCCTCCGGGCCCTAGACGGTGAGGAAGCTCCGCCCCGTCTCTCCCAGCCGCCGCTGCTGAGGAAGCTCCGCCCGGTGTCCGCGTTGCCTCGGCGCGGGGAGGCCCCCAGCAGTGGACGCGCGGAGAGCGGTTCAACGGTTCTGAGTTCTCTCATTGCGTGAAGCGCGTACCTGAGAGCATTCCGTCTCCCAACAGAAGGGACCCATTTCCCCAAGTGTGTGGAAGCCAAAAACCTAGCTTGTCGTCGGTGCGGCCTGCGGGGTCCCAAACAGGCTCCCCAGAGCCTCCGCCCGCGCAGCAGGAAGGAAGTAGGAAGATTTCAATACTGAGGAGTCAGGGGGACTAGAGAAAGACAAACCAACACTGGCTGCTGACTTGGCTACTTTGAGGATTTTGTTTTTGTTTTTATTTCGTGTGGTAGGACTTCAATGGAAAATTGAATGTCTCGCATTTTTCTTTGAAGACATCTCAAATGCTCCTCACTTTGGCCTCTTGGGCACCAGACTGACAAGCTGCAAAGGGGAAACCCAACATTTCTCTGTGCCTCAGTTTCCTTATCTGTAAAAGGATGAAAATGGCTCATCTAATGGGAACTATCATTTTTTTCCCTTCTGGATCTTTTTGTCCCTGGATCCTTCCTCATCCACAACTCTGAGAGACATGTTCTGTTTGCAGAAACCTATAAGGTTTGCTTTTATGGAGAAGCTAGCCTAAACCAAGGCATGCAGGGCTTGAGAAATGAAGAAATTATGGAGCAAGACTCCCTTCTGTGAGGCTGCGTTTTTTCAGTTACTCTACCCACGGTGCGGGGGAGAGGGGTGTCCAACATTGGATAAATATCATCAAGTAATGAACACTCACTCGTCCCAGCTCTGACCCTTGACACGGATTTATACTGGTCTAACTTCCACAATGGGGGAGAAGTTCGGCTACATCCAAACAGGGAGTGATGCAAATATGACGCTGAAACAATATGAACTTTGCCAGTGCACGAATATGCACCTCAGGGTCTCATTCAATTTTACATACATCCTTTTGATCTTATCTAGTGCTTTAACATTCCAAAGCACTACCCTCACTATTCTTTCATTCTCAAAATAAGATGCCTCTCTCAGCAGCAAACTTAGTAAACTGACAAAGCAAGATAGTAACAGAAACTGAAGTAAAATTCTTGGTGGTGTTCTTTTGAAAAGACCTTCACAGACGGTCTTTGGAATTGAGGGTACTAGAGAAGATAGTGCCTGAAAAGATGCCAAACTTCATGCAGTCATCACAATGTGGAATTGAAACATGGAGGTACTTTCCATTTATTTTAATATCTAGCCCTAGCCCAGAGCTATGTCATTTTCTAATTGGATGTCAGTTGGCCAAGGGAGCTAAAAGATCTCACCTTCTTCATGACTGCCCACAAAAGCTGGTTAGTGAACCTTTTGGCCCAGACTCTGTTGTGACTGTTTCAAGGAGCAAATGTTCATTAGCTTTATTTTTCCTGCAAAAGGGCCTCCTAAATCCAGATAACTTAGAAAACTGGTGTAAGGAAAAGTCAACTTTCAAAGTTTACAAAGTCAGTCTTTTCCGGCTTTGCTTTTTTGACTTGTTATGAACCCTGGGATGCACAAGCTCCCTACAGTTTTTCACTTACTTATAATAAGTGTTGGGACTCTCCAAGATTTCTGGAGCTTGTTGCAACTGGCTTGAAGCCTAGAGGAATGGAGATGAACTGAAGATCCTGGCTGTTTTGTTTTTAACTCTGAGCATCCAGTTTGAACATCCAGTTTAAACTAAGTGCTGCCCTCTTCAAGATACCGCATAAATTAACTGTGAGAAACGTAAAACTAATTGCCTAATGAATGAATAAAGAAGATGTGGTGTATATATACAATGGAATACTATTCAGCCATGAAAAAGATGAAATCTTGCCATTTCTGACAACATGGGTGGACCTTGAGGGTATTATACTAAGTGAAATAAGTCAGACAAGGAAAAATACCGTATGATTTCACTCATATATGGAATATAAAAAACAAAACAAACAAAACAAAACAAAAACTCATAGAAACAGACAACAGATTGGTGGTTACCAGTAGGGAAAGGGGTTGAGGGAAGGGAGAAATGGGTAAAGGGGTCAATTATATGGTCACAGATGGAAACTACACTTTTGGGGTGAGCATGCTGTAGTATATACAGATGTCAAATTATAATGTTGTACACCTGAACCCTATACAATGTTATAATCAATGTTACCGCAAATATGTATATACATACACACACACACACAAATACTGTTCACCATAATGCCATAGAGTGCAAAGACAAACCAGAGTAGAAGATACTCACCATACATAAATCTCACAAAGGATTTGCATTCATAATATATATATTTTAGAACCTCCTACAACTCAATAACAAAAAGACAACCCAACAAAAAAAAATGAGCCAAAGACTTGGTATACATGACACAAGGAGGAAATTCTAATGGCTGGGAAACTATGACAAGATGTTCACCATCCTTAGTCATTGGGAAAATGCAAATGAAAACCACATGAGACCCCACTGCACACCCATCAGGATGGCTAAAATTAAAAAGGCCAACAATATCAAATGTTGTTGAGACATCCTGTTCTTCCTGGAACAACAGGAACCCACATTCTTTGTTGGTGGCAAGGCAAAAAGCTATTTGAAAAATTGTTTCTATGAAAGCCCTTTGCAATTCCACTCCTAGGTACACATGCATCCACCAAAAGACACGGAATACTGAACAGCAGTGAAAATGAACCAGCTGCAATTATACACAAAAATACATGCCTCTCATATAATGTTGAGTGAAAGAAGCCAGATGCAAAGGACTATATACTGTATGACTCCATTTATGTAAAGTACAAAACAACACAAAACTATGCTGATGGAAGTAAAGACAGTAGTTTGAGGTGAGGAGCTAATGGCTGAGAGGGAGCACAAGAGATCATCCTGGGGCACTGGAGACGTTTTCAATCTTCGGCTCCGTGGTAGGCACAGAGGTGTATAAGAATGTAAAACTTCAATGAGTGTGCAGCTAATATTTGTGCCCTTTACTTTATGTAAGTGATACCTTAATAAAAAGTTAAAAAAAAAAAAAAAAGAAAAACTAATTGCCCAGAATACTTGAGAGATAAAAATGCATAGATGTGTAGTTTAACAAGTTGAGGATTTTTTAGAGCATTTTATATATCAAAGTACTTTATACATGTTATCTAATATGATCCTCTGAACAGCCATTTTAGAAAGGGGAGAGAAGATAATGCCCACTTACAGATGAGGAAATAGACTTATTAAAGCACTAGGACAGCACCTAGGTCCCTGCCCACAAATCCAGGGCTCTTTCCTGAAGCAGAAAACTGGCTTCAATTCCAGCTTTGTTACACCCTTGCTAAATAATACAGTTACATGTAAGAAAAATATGCAGAAGAGCTATTTAAGCATTTAAGTTTAAAATGTGACAGGAAAGCAGTTAAGAGTTCTCCCTCAAGCAAAGGTGATACAACAAATAACCTAGGCAGATGTCATATTATCTGATTTTGAAATAACTCCCGTGGAACTAAATACTTAAAAAGGCTTGGGTGTCTTTTAAATAAGTAAAAGTTACACTATTTGGATAAAACCAAATAGGTGAAATTAAAGAGGACAGTTAATTTTAAAAGATGAAAATAAAATGAATAATATCCATTAAAAGCAGTATAGTAGTAGACACAAGTTTCTGTCTTTCAGGAAAAAAAACTGGTTTTCTTCTGAAATTGGTATTACTTAGTTCATGGAGCTGAGATGGCATTCAACTTGTGCAAAGACAAAAACATTATACTTCCTTCCATACGCAAATAAGTGTTTTGCTCATCATCAAACTCCAGAAACCAAGAAAAGTAATACTTTTTGCTATTGTTTTAGCAGTCTGTAATAGAAGACACTGCTATGGGTATAACTGTCTCCTCCCCCTTACATCCTTGCAAATCGTTCAGAATGAGCAGAGGCAGGAACAGTAAGAAAACAGAATCTGAGATGATAAAGTACAGTTTTCACCCCTCCCACCAAAACCAAAGGATCCTTGTACAACACTGCTCTAAATAATTTTCATATTGCCAATTCCTATTGGATGGGTGGAATGAGAATTCCAATCACTGTTTTCCTGTGGTCTAAGTCCCATCCAAAGAAAAGAGTTTCACATCTGGTGCTTGACAGGGAAAAGTTTTCTATTACTAAGGAAACAGAGTAGTAAACTATCCCTCCCCGCCACCTCCTGCCTCCAAATACCATCAAATTTTGCAGATAAAGTTAGAGAACTCTGAAAGGCCCTGCTTGGTTTCCACTGGGAGAAAGGGAAGCAAGAGAGTCAAGCAAAAATGCACCACTTGGAGAACAGTTCTAGATGATACCTTACATTTTTTTTTTTTTTTTGGTGAGAAGGACTAGCCCTGAGCTAACATCCAATGCGAATCCTCCCCTTTTTTCTTGAGGAAGATTAGCCCTGAGCTAACATCCGTGCTCATCTTCCTCTACTTTATATGAGACACCGCCACAGCATGGCTTGCCAAGCGGTGCGTCGGTGCGCGCCCGGGATCCGAACCTACGAACCCCGGACCGCCAAGGTGGAGCGCGCCCACTCAACCGCTCGCGCCACTGGGCCAGCCCCAGAAACCTTACATTTTTAAAGTGCTATAGTTTACAGGAGAATTTTACATATATTATCTCTCGGTATTGACCTAACTGGGAGGTAGGTAGGGAAAATAATTATAATCCTCACTTTGTGGAAGGAAAAACAGAAAGAACAGAAACTCAAAGAGGTTAGTGACT